CCATTTGTAATCTGATAACCTAGTTGATATTGTTGGGTGTTACTTTGTTTAAATTGTCTGACCGTCTACCATGCCACCCAGACACCCCAAATCCTCAAATGAGCATTTTTTTTCCAGCCCACATATTAAAAACTTCATTTCCCTTATTTTTTAAATTTTACTTTTCTCCCCTCCGAATGATTATTCATCATCAGCCATCTTAATGCCCTTGACCTGAGTTATTTTAAATTTTTTGCTTTAAGGTTACCAAATTTAGCCGTTTGAATCCACTTTCCAGCGCTGATCTTGACTTGCTGTACTATACAATATGACAACTCCATAAAATAGAGAATGCCTCAAACCCATGATTTGAAATGATATCTTGTGAAAATATTTTTCACACAAAGTATGGAACAATATGTGCATGAAGATTTCATTCATTCTCTTGGCCAAACTTTGGAATATTGATTTGTAATGGGTTAAGACTGTTGAACATATGTTACATATGCTATTTTTATCTGATTAGTCAACATATGTTTCAACGTCAAGAAAATTATATTCCACGTCTTACTTTGTCTATCATGTTGTAAGATTAGAAAATCATTAGCTAAATATAGCATGCTAGAGGCTTACCTTTAGAAAAGAAAAAGAAAAAAAAAATTGAAAAAGAGAACTTTTTTTGTCACCAAGGACACAGTTAATACTTGTTTATCTGGTAGACTATATTCATTGTGGTTGTATGTGAATAGAGTTCTAATGTTTGGAAATGTTCAAATCATTGATTGCAGAAATGTCGGAAGAGGAAAGATGTGACCCGACTTCGGCTTTTATTGTCATATTTGCAAAATGGTATAGAAGAACCGTGGCAGAGGATTCCTTCCATAACTGCTGTATTCGTTGCAGAGGCTTCTTTTGTTTTACTGGATCCATCACATGACAATTATTCTACCATAAGCAAGAATCTTATGCATTGTTCTAGTGCGAACATGAAGGTATATGGATGAAAATTCTATCTCATCTATTTCTTAATGCAATTTGCTTCTACTGAAACTTACTCTTATATGCTTGCCTCTTCTGTTGTTTCCTTAAATTATATGACAGACCATACCATTATTCCAGAGTTTTTTTTGGAGTAGCTCTGTTAATTTCAAAACAGACAGGCTATGGATACTTCGGCTTTTGTATGCTGGGCTAAATACAGATGATGATGCGCAAATATATATCAGAAACTCCAGTTTTGAAATGCTTATGAGTTTTTACGGATCTCCTCTTTCAGATAACATGTCAAAGGAACTTATTATTCAGGTGAATTGTGCTATGTAAAATTCTCTCTCTTTACCCATGCATAGGCATGCATGCAGATACCTTTTATTCTGCATGAATTATCAAAAGTAATCAAGTCATTTTCTACTACATTTATCTTGTATCCTCTACCGTGTTGATTTTATTTATCCTGTGTCGCTTCTGAGTTAACATGATAGCTACTATAAATGCATATTTAGAAGGGTGTAAATGGTGTCAGTTTATTGAAACATGTCAATATGACACTTGACCTTAAACTTGTCAGGCATCTGGTATTTTGTCTCTTCATGACATAATTCTCCTCTTCTACTAATAAGCTCTTCTTTTACCGAAGCAAAAGACACAGCAGTCTTGTCATAAAGATTCTGAACTATTTTATCCAGCCAAACCGTTTAGGGGGTAGGTTATGTATGGATATTAACATTTTGCCTGGTTTTGATGATTCAATACAATTGGTGCACTTGTTTTTGGGATTAAGGCGACATTAAGGTTCTAGATTATTTGCTGGTTATAATTTTCATTTGAACTAATGGAATCAAAGAAGATTCTAGAATGACATCTCATTTGGAAAAGTTTCCTTTAATAAAGTTGTTCCATGTACATGGACTCTCTCGTATGCATGATATTTAATTGTAAAAAAGGGGAAGGTAACTTTGTTTATCTTATGAAACAATTAGTTACAGTAATTATTTTCTTCTTGATTGTACTTGTAATTTTTATCTCCCTTGGGTAGTCAATATAATCTTCTTAAATTTGAGGTAGAATATATTGGAGCCAGACTTTCTCCATGTCTCTGTAGCAAGGACACTTAACTAGAGTAGCGTGTTCGCGTTGGACACGTGTTGATACCGACAATCCTCGAACACTCTACCATCATCATTTTTTTTTTTAACTAAAAATATTATACTCAAAGTTATTAGTAAATGACAAATAGGTACTCATATTCATAAGATTTCAGCAAAGAAAAATTAATAACAAGTACAAAATTAAATATACTATATAAATGAAGAATTCTAAAGAATTTAATCAACGTATTGGTGATGTGTCGTGTCAATACTTTTTTTGAAAAATCACGTGTTGGATATGCCGACATGTATCGTGTCTGTCCGTGTTGGTGCATCATAGCTCCATGTTCTTTATTGTACTATCATTGTGATTTCTCTTAATCACGATAATGCTACACTAACTTCATAATTTTCTGTTATTTGGTAGACTTCTTGAACTTAGAGCATGTTTTGCTAAGCCTATAAAAAGTTAAAGTACTTAAAGTAAATTTACAGTTCAGACAAACACATGTCTAAGGCTAAATGTTACTTTCAGGTAACGTTTTCCCCATCATGTTTACCGAAAAAAGTAAAAGTAACTTTTAGTTCAAATCTTACTTTTAACAATAAGTCTATCCTTACTTTTCCTTGAAGTACAAATACTTTTTGCTTAGCCAAACATGTTCTTAGTCTTATATTCATATCCAGTAAAGCAACTAAACTTATCTATTCTGAATTTTATTTTTTCTGCGGTTGGGGGCATGTTGTACTAGTAGAAGTTTCTTTCCTTCCACAAAAATGAGAGTAATATGGATTCGTTAGGACAAACTTCTTTTTATTGATTCTTTTGTTTTTTCATGGATATTGAAACTCCTTAAGGTGTACCATCAATAAATAGTAACTTCCTATTTTCCCCTTGAACCATGGGATTCTCATTTTTTCATTTCGAAAGTTGGGCTTTGATTCTTTATTGGGTTTGACATCCTTCTAGGTGCATTTTGCTCTGACATTTTTATTTAGGATTGGCTTATCCCTTTCCTTCATTTCTCTCTAGGTGAAGTTTGCATGTCATTTAATTGGGTTCTCATTTATTATGCTATATCTGTAACAAGCTACCTTCTGTGAAGATCTGAATTTGAATGAATGGTGCATGCTGCAGATTGTAAGGAAGGCTGTCAAACTACACAAAATGACCCGGTTCTTGGTTGAACACTGTGGCCTGATATTATGGTTGTCATCTATTGTCTCATCATTATGCTGGAAAGAATGCGAAGACAGGAAAAATTGTATATTAACACAATTGCCTATAATACTGGAGGTATTGGTTTTCTTTGCTTTGTTTTCTCACTTTCCTTACAATTTCCTTTGGTCGAAGAACATTTTCCTTTCTGTTCACCATTTTTAATAGCTGTTGCCAACACCAAAATGCAAAACAGGGGTCTCAACTTTTTTCCCCTTCCCTTCCGTTTCTTTGATTATGGTCTAGTGCTCTACTTGTATGCTAACTATATAGTTTTGGTTACTTTTCCCATACAAAGCCATTAATAGATCTCTTTTAAGTATGGATAGTACTAAGTCATTAATGTTCTTTGAGTCAGAACACGATTAAGTATAATGGCGATTCAAAATAGAGGATCATGTGCTCCCAAAGAACTATTGTTTTTAATTACATATGGTCAATTGGGATAAGTCACACCGTATATCTCAAGATTTCATGTATAACGGTTAATGTTGTCCACGTGTAAATTCCGCTAACCCGCATCATGTTATTTCTGACAAAATGGTTAATCAGCAATGAACTGAAATTGTATGGAAACTGGGCTGACTAAATTTGTAATAAAAAAACTTCAGTGATGAAATGATATTTTTTTGAAAACTTGAGTGACCTCCAATGGTTTTTGCCCCAGTTTTTTATGATACTTGAATGTCGGGCTCAAAAGGACAAAATACCGCCTATGTATGTAAAAAAGAAGGTGCAACCAATTAAGAATAGATTAAGAGAATGTTGACTGAGATGGTTGGAGTATGTCTTGCTTAGAACTAAGAAGGTTTCAAGCAATGCAATCAGCTATTTGTATAGCTTAAATTTGATATCACTTCTGGTGGTCGCAACCAATTTGATTTTTCCAAATCTTTTAGAAAGGGTCAAGTTTGTATCTTACATAATGGCTTAAAAAGATTTGCTAATGAGAAAAATTCCTGTTTTAACCTCCTTTTCTCATTGTTTTATATGGTAAAATTTGTTCCGCGTATGAGTTAAAAGTTGATTTAACTTGATCAAAAATAACTAAACATACTAAAAAATACTTTTAAGTGCTTCAGTGTAAGTCAAATTATCATGGATTTATTATTATATTGAACTCCATTTTTCTTAGATATTACCCGGGTATGTGAGAGGATGGTTATGCATGCCGCTTCTAAGAACACGATGGAATCAAATGTTATCATTTTAATTTTTACACATGATGTTTACTTCTGTATAGTAGACATCTGATCATTGTGCTTTATTTCGACATAAAGAACTGTCACAATAAAGAAAAGTTTTGAAGTTATTCATATTGTTAGCCTATGTTCCTTTTATCCTTTACCTGTTCCTTTGGAGATCTCCATATTGTGAAAGCATAGGTGCAACTGAAATGCATTTTTATTTTTTGATTGTGATTTATTTTCCAAATCTAGGTGGTAAATAATCTTACTTCAGCGAGAAATATTGTGGAATGGTTGCAAAAGTATGCTCTGGAGCAGCTTTCAGAACTTTCATTTCATTTATACAAACTTTTAGTTGGTGATGGTGAACTTGTGAAAGAGCAAAGCACAGTCAACTCAATTCTGCAAATATTAACGTTAGTGCTGAAGATATCGCAGAAGAGGAAAGTATATCAACCACATTTCACCTTGTCAGAAGACGGATTATTTCAGATGTGTGAAGCTATTGATGTATGCACCAAAAAGAAGCATAGTCCTTATGCGGTGTTGGGACTAAAAGCTGTGCTCATGAGTATTCCTCCGATCACTATTATGGGCATGGTATCTGTCACTCTCTCTCTATATATTTAGTTTTATCTACATATAGCATACACTTTCCATCTTTGAAGCTGGCAGTGCCTAACGATTCTGTTTAATAGAATTTTCGTACACTAATTGCTGTGTTGTTAATTGAATGTTTAAGACCGTCAATGGCTTGTATTTATTTGTCTGATACTGTGCGTGTATCATAACTCATTTCCCTGCTTCTTTGTCTGACATGTAATGCTGATTATTTGACTAACTGAAGGAAACAATTCCATTTTCTAATTCCTGTTATTATTTGGTAGACCTTTATCATGGTCGTATGCTCATTTCATTTCCTAATATATTTTGTTCTTGTTGTTTGGGGCACCTTGTCCTCTGTTTCTTTGTCATTCTCTCTAATTGATAAGATACTACTTTTATCGAAATCTATATGAGCGAGCTTTATGTAGATTAACATTAGTCCTCTGTTAGTTGGCGAATGACATAATGAATCTCGTGAACGATAGTGTGGAAGAATACTGTATATAAGGAACCATCAAAGTTCCTATTTAGAGACACCAATAGAACCCTTGTTGTTATTCATTTATCTTGTTCCCTTGTGGACAAGTAATATTGATATATTGCTTCTTGTGTCTTTCTTTCTTCAAAGCCTATTTTTATTTAGCATCAAAATTCTTTTTCAGAGGCACTAACAGAACCCTCATTATTATTCATTTATTTTTGTTCCCTTATGGACAAGTGATATTGATATTTTGTTCGCTGAGTCTTTCTTTCTTTGAACACCCCATTTTTATTCAGATTTACATCACTATCCAGTGATTCTCTAAAGCAATATACTGTTTTGAAAATCGAGCAAGTTCATTTACTTTTACACACTTCCGCTAAATTCTTCTCTTTAAATTTACCTGTCCAACATGATCTAGCATCTTATGCATGCTAGCCAATCTATGGAAAATTCCCTATTCACAAATCTCAATTCTTTAAAAGTATTACACATTTCTGATTCCAACTTCTCTTTATTTATTGTTATCTTAGCCTCCGTTATCATTTGATTGATGTTCCTGCACTTATGTTAAAATAGTTTTTTCTGCAATTTCATCGAAATCTACGACTGGCAAGGGAGAAATTCCAGTACATTATTTTGCGAACTTGATATAGTTTTGTTATTTAGTCTTTAATATATTAGAGTTTCTTCCTCATTTTTTTATTGGCATGGTGAGCATGCTTCATTTAGACCTTAATAAATATCTGATTCAGTTAAAATGATGCATTTTTTTATATGTTTTTTGCAGGATCAGGAAAAGCTGTCGAAATTTTTAAGCTGGGCAGTTAATACTGCCATCCAGTCGGAGTCAACAAAAGAGCTCCAGCCTGAGGAATCTGATTACTGTATGACAGCATTGTCAGAGAAAGAAGAACCTGAAGATTCTCTTGTATCAAAGCTTTTGCGATGGTTGACTGCTTCAGTGATCCTGGGAAAGATTTCATATAAATTACGTAAATTTAACACTGATAATTTTTTGGAGGGATCAAACATCAACAATTTGCAGTCTCTGTTAGAATGCCACGAGAAAGGAATTGGAGAAAACGAGGTTGATCATAGCTGTCGAGATATATTAGCTGCATCAATTTTTTATCTGCAACAGTTGCTGGGCAGAAACCATAGATTGCTTCCATCAGTTGTCTCTGCACTGTGTCTTCTGCTTCTTTCTGGTTCCTCCTCCATAGGTACACTTTTTTCTATAATTTAGCAATTTATCAGCTAAATATGTCATGCTTAACTCCTTTCCCAGGTTTCTTAAAGGACTAACTCTACAGATTGTGTGTCAAGATAACTATCCACGGTTTCCTTTTCCAGAATTCTGTATGCTTGAGCTAATGTAGAAACTTTTTTTTAATTATTTTAGGAATTTAGCCTTTCCATATGCTTACATGCCCTATCTTTTGACGAAATAGGATTAGCCTGATTACGTTAGTAGCACCTAAATACGGAATGAATATTTAACAACACATGGATGATTAAATAAAGTTGGTATTGACATCTACGAATTTGGACTACTAAGGGTGGCTAAATTGAATTTTTTTTGGCTTGAATCAGAATGTCAAAGGCCCTTCATGGCTTTAAAAGATACACTAGGAGGGCAGATTTAATAGCACCCACTATGGCATGCTTCCGTGTATGTCCATAATGGCAAATATCAGACATATAAGCATCGTCTTCTTTTGATTTCATGTTTGATATTGAACTGCAAGTCTAACATCCTGGCAGTAAAGAGAGAGAATTTTTACATTTTTGTACTATGAACCGTTGACCTTTTGTATTGGCATTTGTTTAGCTACTTATCTCTAGCAAATGACTCATTTTTTACTGTGTTCTTTCTATTTACTAGATATGGAATTTTCATTTGGTCTTGGGATATCTTTGCCATCGCTTTTATCGAAGATTCGCTGCCCTGCCGAAGCTAATCCTGCCTGGAGCTGGTAATATACTTGGCACCCCCTTCACTTTTCCATTCCAGTCCCCCTCCCAAAAGGAAGTATAGCGGTCATGCCAGTGGTGGTGTCGTCATAATTCATTCTAGCATTATTTTCTTGATAAAACAGCTCCTCGAGTATCTGGGGTGGGGATAATTAGGGGTGCTCAGTGGGCTGTTTCTTGCTTAAAAGCCTGGCCAACATTGTGGAGTAAAACTGAAGGGTTGCATTTAGATACTTTCATGTCAAGTTCATTCTTTCAATTGAGTTTTCAGCTTAAAATGCACTGAAAAGTGTTTGATCTCTTTCAGCAGAAGTTTGCAAAATCTTAAACCGTTTTCTTATGTTAAAATAGAAATATAGACACAATTCACTAGTTTTCATGAAAGTTGATTTTTACTTCATGTTTTTTTATCGCTCAAACTAACATAAGCTCTCGATTCCTTGCTACTTGGAGCATGTTTGGCTAAGCCTAAAAAAAATAAATTTAGAACTGCTTCAAGTAACTTTTAAGCTTAGCCCAAAATGTCTAAAGCCTAAAAGCTACATTTAAGTAATTTTCTTTGCATAAATATATTTTGCCAAAAAAGTAAAAAGTTAAGTCTTCACTTACACTTTCGAAAAGCGCTGTTACTTTCTTTAGGCTAGCCAAACTTGTTCTTAGCTTCACATTACATTGATAAATTGCTCTTGTAAATAACAATTACTACGTAGTGTGTGCTGCTGAATGCTAATAGAACTTCACCCTATTTTGCACAGGTCATTTTTCCAGCCGTGGAGAGATCTTTCCTTTGAGGTCGACGGAGTGAAGAAAATCGATGAAATTCATTCCTGCGAACAACTTCTGGTAGTAATTTCAAATATTCTTGGACGAAAATCATTTTGTTTGCATTTTCTCTCACTTGAAGACGAGAAAATCTCGCATGTATTCGAGTGGGAAAGAAGAATTCTTGATTCTGAATTATCTCTTTCGTAATAAAGATGCCTCATTTGCCTATTTAGCAGATTGCGGTTTCTTTAATGTTTGATTATATAATGCATCTGGATATGGGCAGTCTATACAACTGAATTAGCATTCGACAGTGCCACGACAACTTGATAAATAAATTATTATTATTATTTTATTTATAAAAATTGAATTGATTGATTATTCAATAAAGCTCCAATTACGGGGAAATTTTAACAGAATTGATACCGACATTGAAGTGGACAAACTTAATTAGCCTCTTTTTTTTTTTTTAAAAAAAAATTCTCTCTCTCTCTCTCTTTAATGGTGCCATGCCAAGTGTTTTCCAACAAAGTTTTCTGTTTAAAAATATATATTTATAGCATGATTGTTGAATGTTTTAAGTGAAAGTTATCCAATGATATGCAATTATAAGATTCACATGCCAGTAAGCCTAGTGGCGGATTCAAGATATTGAGCCAATTAGGGTGGCCGTTGACCATCGCAATAACAAGATTGTTTATTAATATTTAATTAAATAATATTAAAAAAATTCAATTAATATATAAATGCACTAAACCGTAAAAGTCGTATACATATGAAAATATAATTCAATACAATCCAAAATAATTTAAAAAAAAATACATTTGTCAATCATATACGGATGATTAAGTTTCAAGTTTTCACGAATTTAAACTAGACAAGACAAAGTATATACTTAAAACATGATTAAACCAAAAAGATAAACTTGAGTGTAAGTGAAGTTTATGCAAAATTTTTAAAACAAAAATTTTTAGACTTAGAACTATTTTTGACTTAATGTTTTTCGAACTCTTAAAAGAAAAAAATACTTAAATTGTCCAATTTAATTTTGCAAAATAAATTGATAAAATCTAATACTAAAAGTATATATTATGAAATAATAATTTGAGTAAATAAATTTCTTAAAAAAGATTTTGGAAACGAAAACTAATAATATATAATTGTTTAGATTTTCAATTTAATTTGTTAAAAAAAATTAAAAGAAGGAGAGGAGGTGATTGGAATCAAAACACCATTTATTGGTTAAAAATTATTTATTTATTATTTGTCAAAACATTAAAAGAAAGGGTTAAAGTGAAAGGAATTGAACCCCATTCATCTCACATGGAAAGTAAGCACTCAACCATCTAAGCTACATTGCTTATCATGTAGAATTGTGTTGAGAAACACCATTTATTGGTTGAAAATCGGTATAATTTTTATTAATTTATTATTTGTCAAAACATTAAAAGAAAGAATGTTAGTGAAAGGATTCGAAACCCAATCATCTCCCATGAATTGTAAACACTCAAACCATTTGAGCTACATTACATTTATGCACTAAATTGTATATATATTTAAGGATTGATGGGTTTTGTGCAGGACGTCCTTACGTTTCGTTTCTTAGCGCATAACGTCCCTTCCTTTCACATTTTTGACGCAAAACTTCATTTTTCCCATTTTTTGACCATTTTACCCTTCTATTAAAATATAACAAAAAAAAAGAAAAATAAAAATACATAACAAATTGCAATTATAGGTCCAAACTTTTAAAAATATGCAAATCAGTCACAAACATGAAAAAATCATCACCCCCCAAAGCCCCACCTTTGAAGGCAAATTCCTCGACCTCCGACCACCTGGCAGCCAGACCAACATACCACCTTGAAGCCCTCATTGCCCTCTTCACAACCCACCCAACCACCAGCCCCAACTTCAGCAGATTTGGCCGAAAAGCAAATTCAAAAATTACAACGCAGGCAACTCGAGAGTTCACATACGAGAACAATTCAGACAAAAATTGAACATGTTCTGAGCGTAATTGGGCCTGACCCATTAGTGAGCCAGCTGCTCCTGATGAAGACGAACCCAACCCAGGTGGTCGGCGACCCTGGGTTGGTCGGACGATGCCAGAATCAGAGTTCATAGGAGCGTAGAGGAGCTCGCGACTGGCGCTGTTTCATGAATTAATTCAATTTGATGGTGTATTGTTTGGAGTGAATTGGGGCCATATTTTGTGTCTTCTGGACCTGGGCAGACAGTTCGTGGTGGTTCGCGACCATGACGGTGGCCGGAGGAGAGATTTCCACAGGTTACAGAATTTCGATTTGCTGGTTTTGATGAATGATTTCGTGCGTATAAGTGGATGAAATTGGGAGTTCTTGGGTGGAAATTTTAGAGGATGTTGAGGAGATTAAGTTGGTAGTGATAATCGGCTATTTTGGTGGCCGGAATGATGTGGAAATTGGGTCCATAACCGGCGGCTAGGAGCTCCTGACGGTTTTTAGTTGGTTTTTTTTAATATTGTTATAAGTTTTGGACTGATTTGCATTTTTAAAAAAGTTTAGGA